CGAACGTTAGTATTAAAGGAATAAAAAATAAGGTTAGTATTCTAGGGTTAAGATTCTCAGAATCAAATATTTACTATGAATGAAAATTAATTGAGGGATTCACAACAGTATCGTAAGTGTCGTATTTTTGTATGTCGCAAACTTTAAAAGCTTAAATAAATGTTTATAGAACTTGAAACCACAGTTAACTGTTCTTTAACACTGCGAGAATGCATAAAATGACTTTGATGGTACTTTTCGAACCCCCTAACAATACGACACTTACGACACCGTTGTGAATACCCCAAATATATACCTGCTAGGTTTATATCAGAGACCCAATATAATTATGGATTGTCCTAATATTTGGGTTCACAAAAGTCCCATATAACTACTATGATAAGACGAAAATAATTTCCATCTTAAAATAGTAACCCCGCGAGACCAAAAATAAAAAAACTCCCAGATAATTATTAGGAGAAGATTAAAAAGCTTTTAGTCTAACGATTTTCGTCTCAGGAGACGAAAACAAATTGACTTTGTTCAGTTATAATTATACAGTAATATTTAATTTTATTTATTATAGCTAATCGTTATGGTCTCTAGTTTATACGTAAGCTATTTGCAAAAAAAAATAATAATTTGGAAATACCTAACTCACTGTTGATAAAATTGTGAAAATTTGTATTCAATGTTTCCTGATCATAAAAAGGCAATGATATCATCATCGAAAAAGAAAAAAAAACTTTTTTCTATATAAAATAAATTTTGTTCATACTTTGTAGAGACTGTGTAGAAACGCCTGCAAAAAAATTTAAAAAATCAACACGAGCCACTTAAAATTTACACATTATTATAGCAAAATTGAATGGGTTATGAAACTGCATAATGATAGAAAGTTTTGATGAATAGTTGAACTTTCCTTAATTGTGTATAAATATAAAACTTTGATTTTTATAGTTTCTTTATAACATAAACCACATTTCTTAAAAAAAATTACAAAAAAATTTTAGCTTGCAAAACATTGTTAATATTTAAAAACAACAGGTATGTAGATATATGTACACAGGCAAGTATATGTTTATAACACAAATGAGTTTGGCCAACGACTGTTACTTTGACACTGCGAAAAAACCCAAAAACACTCCACACTTTTGGTTCTTTTCACTCCGCTCGAGAATTAGAAAACGGCAACGCTGGTTAGCGAAGGCAGCGGAGAAATGCCGGTGCAGTGATCGGACTTTTACCACATTGTGGTAGATCTGCCACTTTTTTGAGCATCTACCACTCAAGGTCTGAAATCTACCACATATTTGCGTTTTTAATTATTTATATTTTTGCTCGACATAATTTTCTTAATTTTAAGAGCAAAAATTGTTCAACACTAAACACTATATGGTAACAAGAATGATATAATACCAGATTCCGCTTTCCCGTCGACGATGAAATTTCTCAAGTAAAAGTAAGCAAAGCCGAATGGGAGGATAAAATAAACCTTGAAATAGTAAATTTTCTCAGTAATAAATTTTTCGACAGGAAACGTGGTTTTATTGTGTTAAATTGCAAAATATATGATTTATACAAAGAATTAATAGCGAAAATGTTAAAAAACGGCGATTTTTGTGAAGGTATTATCAAATTTCAGTGCATCTAAAATTTCTAAGGCGTTGTTTACTTTTACTTGAGAATTGTCAAAATCGGCAAATCCCTTTGTAGCGGTTTCTGGAACGTGCCGTATTTGTTCGCTACTTCGTGATGTGATAAAAAGAAAAGTTGGCAACACTCCGCAAGGTTGCAGAAGTCTCTTAAAATATGTTCGAAAAATATCTTGATATGAAAGGAACTGCCAAAATTGCCAAAACTCAACGCAATTTTTAGCAACTTCAATCTTGCACTTTATTATACTATTGA